GTTGCCACGTGTCAGACATGTCATCGACCACGTGGTAGACACGTCATCTTCCTTTGAATGTTAGCTGAGCTGCTAAAGTCGAGTCAAGCCGCGCTGCTGAGCCGCGCCGCGCCAGAAGCTGCCCCGTTGACTAAGCTGTTGACCAGCGAGTCAAGCTGTGCCACTGAGTCGCGCCGCGCCGCGCCAGAAGTTGCGCCGTTGACCACATCGTTGACTTCGCCGTTGATTTCGCCGTTGACCGCGCCAATTGACTAGCCGTGCCAGAGTAATTATCCAGTGCATCTCAGGCGCACCAGATTCTGCAGATCTGAACCGTCCAAACTGTTTTAGCTTGATCTGAGTCATTCGGAATCCGTTTCTGACGATCCAATAGTACTTTCCAACTATTTGGAGTATTCCGGACACATCTGTATGGTTAGTTTTTTGAATCGGAGTTTCTAAAAAAAAAAAATTCTAAATGGCAGAATCTACAGAGAGGAGATTAGCCGAGTCTACAAGCAGCCCACAACTATAAACAACTCTAGGTATTGGACCCCGATGTCCCATGCTAAGTTTGACATAGAAAAGTTTGATGGAAGCAGCAACTTCAGCATATGGAGATGCGAAGTTAAAGATATACTTGTCCAGATGAACCTGCACTTCACTTTGGGAGACAAAATAGATGACTTGGACGGGATAGAATGGGAGAAAGTGAATCTCTTGGCCTGCAATTCCATCCGAATTTGCCTTGCAAAAGAGGAGAAGTATGCCTTCATAGAATATGATATTGCGAAGGAGCTTTGGAAGGCGCTGGAAGACAAGTTCATGACAAAGAGCATTGAGAACCAGCTCTACTTGAAGAAGAGGTTGTTTCGTTCGACTATAAGAAAGGTATTTCGATGAACGAACACCTAAACAATTTCAACAAAATTCTTACCAACTTAAAAAACTTGGATGATCACATTAGTGATGAAGATAAAGCACTGTTACTGTTGAATTCCTTGCCTGAAACATATGATCATCTCACCACCACTTTACTGTACGGTAAAGAAAAGATCAAGTATGTTGATGTTGCAAACGCCTTGATAAATAATGAGTTCAGAAGGAAAGATAAATCTGCAAATAGGGACTCAACATCCGAGACATTGACAGTTAGAGGCAGGACGAATAACAGAAGATATACAGGGCGAGGAAAGTCTCGCTCAAAATCCAAAGGGAAATCATCAGATAGAAGACGTCTTGCAAAAGACGAGTGTTCTGCTTGTCGCTAGAAGGGTCATTACGCAAAAGATTGTCCCAATAAAGACAAGAAAGAAGAAAATGTGAACATTACACGAGATAGAGATAATGGTGAAGGATCAGCCTTCACAGTTTCATCATATGGCCAGTCTGATGAATGGATTCTAGATTCCGGATGTTCCTACCACATGTGTCCTAACAAGCAGTGGTTCTCGAGCTTATGAGAGTTTGATGGAGGAGTTGTACTGATGGACAATGACCAAGCTTGCCAGACAAAGGGGATTGGAACAATTCGACTGAAGATGCATGATGGAACAATCAGAATTCTTGAAGATGTTCGGTATGTACCAGATTTGACGAAGAATCTCATCTCAGTGGAAGTTTTAGACTCCAAAGGTTACAGAGTAACTGTGGAAGGTGGAGTCCTCAAAGTTATTCGAGGAGCATTTGTTGCAATGAAGGGTACTCGAAAGGGAAATTTATATTTCCTAGACGGCTCTACAGTCACAAGGAGAGTGGCTGTCTCCACCAGCTCAGAAGATGATGTATCAGACACTTCCAGACTTTGGTACATGTGCCTGGGGCATGTCGGTGAGAAAGCTTTACAAGGGTTGGTAAAGCAAGGCCTGTTGAAAGGCGCCAAAACAGGGAAGCTTGAGTTCTGCGAGCATTGTGTACTGGGCAAGCAAACAAGAATCAAGTTTGGTACTGCTATTCATCGTACCAAAGGGATTCTAGACTATGTTCACACCGATGTATGGGGTCCTTCCAAGAATGCTTCGTTGGGAGGTAAACACAACTTTGTGTCGTTCATTGATGATTTCTCAAGAAGAGTTTGGGTTTACACAATGAAGCATAAAGATGAAGTATTAGAAATCTTTCTTATGTAGAAGAAAATGATTGAGACCCAGATAGGTAGAAAGATCGAGAAGCTCAGATTTGACAATGGCGGGGAATACACATCAGATCCCTTCTTTGAGGTTTGCCAGAATGAAGAGATAGTGAGACATTTCACAGTTCCTGGAACACCGCAGCAAAATGGAGTTGCAGAACGCATGAACCGCACTTTGGTGGAGAAAGTCCGGTGTATGCTGTCACATTCTGGATTGAGCAAGTCATTTTGGGACGAGGCATTGAACTATGCTCGTCATCTTGTTAACCGACTACCTACTGCAGCACTAGATGGCAAGACTCCCATGGAGGTATGGTCATGAGTGCCAGCTGCTGATTGTGATTAGCTATGTATCTTCGGATGTCCAGCCTATTTTCATGTTACAGAATCTAAGTTGGATCCTAGAGCCAAGAAAGTTGTCTTCTTAGGCTTTAGTGACGGTGTCAAGGGATACAGACTCTGGTGCCCTAAATCAAAGAAAGTTGTCACTAGAAGAAACGTTACCTTTGATGAGTCTATAATGCTGAAGCAACCAAATCCTCAAGAAAATGATGAAGCATTGAAGAAGTCAGTGCAGGTGGAGTTTGAGACTCCAGCAAAGACTATTAAGCCAATCAACCATCCTGAAGAAGTCTCAGTGGATAGCTCTAAAGAGAGTTCAGATGAAAATGAAGATCCAGAGGCCCCACAACAATCAGAACCCATTACAAATTAGGAAAGGAAAAAAGGTTACTAAGCAACCCGGTTGGATGACCAATATAGTAGCCTATGCACTTCCAATCATTGAAGACAATGTTCCTTGCACTTTCAAAGAAGCCGTTTGAAGAAGTCAGTGCAGGTGGAGTTTGAGACTCCAACAAAGACTAGTCAGCCAATCAACCATCCTGAAGAAGTCTCAGAGGATAGCTCTGAAGAGAGTTCAGATGAAAATGAAGATCCAGAGGCCCCACAACAATCAGAACCCATTGCAATCAAAAAAGAAAAAAAAGTTATTAAGCAACCCAGTTAGATGACTGATATGGTGGCCTATGCACTTCCAATCATTAAAGACAATGTTCCTTGCACTTTCGATTGGAACGTGCAGCATACAGAAAGTGTCAATTGGAAGGAGGCTATGGATGAAGAGATCGGGTCACTTCACAAAAACCAGACTTGGGAGTTGGTGCAACTTCCAAAGGGAAAGAAAGCAATTGAGTGCAAGTGGGTTTACACCAAGAATGAAGGCATCCCAGGCAAAGACAACATCAGATTCAAAGCCAGATTGGTAGCTAGAGGTTATGCCCAAAAGGAAGGAATAGACTACAATGAGGTATTCTCACCTATTGTGAAGCACACGTCTATTCGTATCTTGCTAGCTTTGGTTGCACAGTTTAATCTTGAGCTCGCCCAACTCGATGTCAAAACTGCATTTTTACAAGGAGATCTTGAAGAGGAGATATACATGTCCCAGCCAGATGGTTTCAAAGTTGCTGGAAAAGAGAATTGGGCCTGTAAGCTGAACAAATCGTTGTACGGATTGAAGCAATCCCCGAGATAGTGGTACAAAAGATTTGATCGGTTCATGATAGAGAAAGAATACACAAGAAGTCAATTTGATCATTGTGTATATTTCCGTAAGCTTCCAGATGGGTCCTTTATCTATTTGCTCTTATATGTAGATGATATGTTAATTGCATCAAAGAGCAATGAGGAGATTGACAAACTCAAGGCACAGTTAGCAAGAGAGTTTGAAATGAAGGATTTGGGAGAAGTAAAGAAAATTCTGGGCATGGAGATCAAGAGAGACAAGAAGAAGGGCACGGTTCATCTGACACAAACTCAATACTTGAAAAAGGTGTTAGACAGATTTGGCATCATTGGGAAAACAAAAGCTGTGAGTACACCATTGGCCCCTCATTTCAAGCTCAGTGCTTCGATGTCTCCACGTACAGAAGAACGGAAGCATATGACACAAGTTCCATATGCAAATGCAGTTGGTGCATTAATGTATGCTATGATTTGTACAAGGCCTGACATCTCACATGCTGTGAGTATGGTAAGCAGGTATATGCATGATCCAGGCAAAGATCACTGGCAGGCAGTGAAATGGATCCTAAGGTACATACATGGCACGGTTAATCTGGGATTGAAGTTCAAGAGAGATAACTGACTTGGGCAGAATTTGGTTGGATATGTGGACTCAGATTATGCTGGTGACTTGGACAAACGCCGATCAACAACAGGGTATTTATTTACGCTTGCTAAAGGGCCAGTGAGTTGGAGGTCAACGCTTCAGTCAACGGTGGCTTTGTCTACTATAGAGGCAGAGTACATGGTAGTAATGGAAGCCTTGAAGGAAGCTATTTGGCTACATGGATTGATTGAGGACTTGGGTATTGTTCAGAAGCACGTTGAGGTGTACTGTGACAGTCAGAGTGCCATTTGTTTGGCAAAGAACCAGGTTCATCATTCCCGCACCAAGCACATTAATGTCTGTTTCCATTTTATTCGAGAAATTGTGAATGAAGGGGATATTCTGCTTCAAAAGATTAGTACTGTAGATAATCCGGCCGATATGCTCACAAAAGTGGTTTCTGGGATCAAGTTCCAACATTGTTTGGACTTGGTCAACATCTCTCCGAACTGAGCACCTTCGGGTGCATGGCAGTGTTGATCGATCACTATGTTAGATAAGAGAATCCTCGCCAATGTGGAGATTTGTTGAAGATTGGGCTAAAGATTCAGCCGAACTACTTACATGGGTTGAGGGGGTGATTTGTTAGATATCACCCCATGTGATCATAGGGTGGCAGCCACATGGTGGGGAAGGATGGCATCAACTCTCCTAGCTATCCACATGGTGGGGCAGTATCTAACTCACTAAAGGTGTGGAGAAGGAGCTGGCCATGTGTTAGCCAAGCCCTCCAGCTTGCTCCATCTTCAGTGTATAAATGGAGAGCTTGAGGGGAGGTTTGAAAGATAGAGAAAAAACAGTCTGAGAGTGTGTCTCCATTGTAATCTTTGCATTTCTTTCAATATAGTGAAATCCGCTGCCCGTGGATGTAGGCGATTTGCCGAACCACGTTAAAACTCTTGTGTTATTGTTTGGTTGTGTTTCCTGGTGTGCCCCCGATCCCCAACAAATACCATTGCTCCTGCTGCAATCTGTAGAAGACCAGCGGCAAAAGAATAGCGATACAGAAGCTTAGTTTGATCCCCATAATCAGCTGAAGCAAAATAAACCAAAACAGCACAAGTGGATAATATCATGACCATGGAATCTATTATGACAAAAGCTTTGAAAGCTGCTTCTCTTGTTAGAATCGCCATGCCTTGATTTGGGCCATCGCTGCTGTTGTAGCCACTTGGCATGGTGAAACCAGCTGCAAAAGTCACAGTTGCTATGAGTGTAGCCACTATCAAATGGGTGTCTCCTGCTTTCCTGACGTCAATGGGTATCGACTTTTTAAATTCAGCGCGTTCTTTCTTCTTGTTTGCTAAAACCTCATTATCTTTGCTAATTACATTTCGCAAACCTAGTGTAGCACCAGCTGCTTCCAATTCTTCTTTTATGAGAACCTGCAATAATCATTCTTCAATCAATTAGGAAAACATTGTATCTAAATAATAACTTTAGTGAATTAAAGTAAAAAGCAGCCCTGCAGTCGTGTGTACAAGGCTTCTGTGACTATGCAGTCTGGATAGGATTGAGGGTTGACATCGATGTACCTTTTGTACAGCTGCGATTTCAGAATATGTTGATATGTCAAGGGGAGTCCAGTTTGCTTTGTTAAAGACAACCTTATCTGCTTTTCGGTGGTCTATGAGGTCGATTGCAAGTAATCTACCAATAGCAATGAGGTGGAGAGAGGTGTTCCCATCGACATCTTTCTGATTTATAAGGCCACTGAGTGAATAATTTTTCAAGATGAATTTAATCACCATCTTTTTCTCATTCTCCACTGCAACATGAAGAATATTTTGGCCTTTATGATTAACCATCTCCCAACAATCAGGACATTGTGATATAAGCTCTTGTATTACACTAACATGTCCTTGACTAGCTGTTACATGAAGAGCTGTCTTATTATCATCTTGGTCTGCAATAAGGTATGCAATGGATTTATCCGAGTCTAGTAGCTGTTTAGCCCTTTGTACATGACCGAACCGCGCAGCATAGTGAAGTGGTGTCCAGCCATGCATGTCTGGTTCCTTGGCCAAATCTTTCTTCCAATCCAACAATGTTTTGGTGCGTCCTGGAGTACAATTTAGCAAAAGCAATAGCAAAGATGAAAACCACCTGAACAAGGAAAATGCTTCCTATCTTCCTAAAACATGGGGACAAAATTTTCTCTGCAATTCCCTACCCTTTCATCCCTGCTTCATAGATCTGAGGGAAAATTACACTAGTAATCCTACTTTTGCCGTCGTGTCATTTTGATTTCTATAATTGCAATTGGCTTGAATTTGACCATGATTTTTTCTTTACTCTGGCTCAATTTGGTCTAATTGATTAAAACTAATAAAGCATTATTTTATAGAAAATACGCACATAAGGGTCCTGAGTCATGTTTTTAGGGGCAAAATTATATATTTGATCAACTCAATCAATTAATCTCAACCAACCCAGCATTATTTTTCCGTAATAACCTTAATGTTATTGTCAATTGAACTAAATTGAAACAAAATCTAAAATTAATTTTTTGCAGTACAATCTTAATTAGGTAGGATCTTTTAATAATTTATAATATTTATGGCTTATATTTTATTTTTATAATTTTTTCAGGGGCTAAATAGGTTTGAATTAAATACTTTAGGAAATTAATAGATTGAATCGATAGTTCATGAACTAAGGCCACGTTTGGGAAAAAAAAAATTAGTATGTTTTGGATGACTTTTTGATTTTTCACGAAAAGATGTGCAAAAATAGAGAGAAAAAGAAATCTTTAACTTTTTGATATATGTTGTTGGCTTTTTGATTTTTTTAATAACTTTTTGACTTTTAGCCAAAAAGTGATATTGCCAAATGAGGCCTAAGTAGACTTTGATTTATATACTTTTAAGGACCTAGTAGACTCAATTTATAATTTAGGGACTAAATAGATAATTTGACAGAGTAAAAAGTGAAATAAACTCTTTATTTAATTATACTTCCTAGACCATATAGAAAAATTTATTGAATCTAAATAAGTGATTTTACTTCAAAATTGAATCTCAATATTTGAATTAATTGCAACTAAAAATATAAGAACAGTAATATTTAAGTGAAACACTAATATAATTTGTTCAATGTTTCTTTAATGTTATAACTCTGGATTTTTTTATAAAGTAACGCTAGAGACTCACATTTGAGACTCCCAAATATACCCACAATGATGTGATAAAAAGTAGAGTTTCACATGATCGAGCACGTGACAAATCAAAAATTGACACTTGTTATTTCACATTCTTGTAGGTGAAATAATAAAACTTCATTAAGAGTTTGAAACATTTATGGTTAAAATATATAAAAGAATAATATTAAATTTTATCTTTTTAAATTTTTATAATCATATTTTTTTATGTCAATTTTATCTTTTTTGATTGATGCGTAAAAATACAGGCCCCATATACATATTATGGATTCACTTTACCGCTACATATGCATACCTTCATTGTTAGAAATTACTGCAGCGTGCAAAGCTGTTCTACCAGCAGGGCCACCATAAGCCGGTGCTCTTCAAGTTTCAAGATATCGGACACCACTTCAAGGTACCCTCTCCCGGCAGCAATGTAAAGCGGACTTTCATCGGCATTGTTTGCCCGGTATGTAAACCCAGGATCTTCTTCAATCAACAGCCTGACCAGATCGGGTTTTGGTTGTAGTTTGAACGGTTTTAATATGGCAAGATCTTCTTGGTGATTTCAGAGCCGCTTTCTATCTCTACAAGATCATGATCCAGTGACGTTGCACATTCAATGAGTGATTTGACTATGTCCGAGTGTCCCTCCCTTGCTGCAACATGAAGAGAGCGGTGTTGCCTTTTGCATTCTGACGATTTAACAGCGATGAATTCTTGCTTAGGATCTCTCGGACACATTGTGAATTGCCGAATTGGGCTGCAATGTGGAGGACAGTGTTCTTGTTTGGGGTGACCTCGGCTTCAAGTTGGTCAACATATTGCTCCAAGACAACAATGTTGCCTTCCTTGGCAGCTCTGTATAAACTAGGATCCATGTCTGACTGCTCTCTATATTGTTTTTGGAACTTAATTAGCTTGCTTTTGCATTTGTATATATATATATATATATGTTGTTTATTGAGAGGAGTGGGTAGTAGATTAGCAATGCTCAACAATACAACACCGAGAAAAATTAACGAGGAAAAAAAGATTTGCCGTCCTGCACAGCAGTGACCGTTGTGCAGTTCGTGGGACTCATTTTGGATCTTATTTTGTTGATTTGAACAGTTTAAATTTTAATAATGTCGAGAAGAATATACCAAAAAATCAAGTTAATTGAATATTAATAACCTTTCTTCAAATCAAATTTGTGTTCAATTTGATACATACATACTCATTTTTTTTTTCTTCATATAGATGTGATTTGATGAAAAAGTTATTGATATTCGATCAACTTATTTTTTTAGAGGTATATTATTCTCGATGTTTTCTGAAATTTGAATGTTTAGATCATCAAAATAGAACTCGAAATGAGTCTCACGAATCGTACAATAGTCACTACTTTACATCATGAATAATAGTGACACCAACTAAAAAAAAAATCTAACAATCACAATCATTGTAACCCATATCTCACCAATTCGTTTTGGGATGCTATTCATGGTATATAGTTTTTCTATAGCAACACTTTCAAAACAAGTTATATGGAAAAGCTTTGTATCTGAAAAACAATCCTTAAAATGAAAAAAAATTATTGAATGGTCCTCGGATATCATGTGATATTACTTATGTGGTGTTCTTGACCAATTAAAAACTGCATATATTATTTCTTGTCTTCTAACTATCTAATAAGGTGAATCAATATTGTTCTACTCCTAAAGTTTTTCCGCCACGCCATTTGTTGAGAGCATCACACAATACCATACTATATAATACTCTAAGATTACTCAATAATTACCCTAAAAATGAAGGCTATGAGCCTATGAATTAAGTAATTAGATGTTGATTTGTAGTCGACTTTAGGTATGTCAAAAGTATAGTTTCAAATATTGGTCATTATGTATTGTATTAATTTATATGTCAGCATTTTGAATCTTCAACATAATTAATTATCAATATATTAATTGATATTATTCGATACAAATTGATATTTAATTGTATCACCAATATTAACATGCAGCTCAATATTATTATTTAAAGTTGGGATCTAGATTGGGCCCGTGGGGCCCACCACGGTTTCAATTTCGATGATTCAAATTGTTCAATGTGTAGCACTCGTTGAGTATTTCATCTCTGTAAAAAATCACGTTGATCGGAGATCGATAGCCATTTGATCAGTGCATATTTTTGTCAATAATTAATTTTTAAAATCATATTTACCATTGACAAAAATACGATATGATTAAGTTGCTATCGATATCTGGTCGACATAATTTTTTATGGGAATAAAATACACGACGAGCTTTACACATTGAACGATTCAAATTATTAAAATTACACTCGTTGTAAACCCTATGAATCCAATAATATGTTCCAGTCCGTTTCAGACCGGAAATTGCCTGATCCTTAAAATTAATATTGGAACTAAAACTAGAACTAATAATTTTGAAGTTCCAGAAAATGTCCCATTAAAAATTGAAAATCACTGTCGTAACTAGAACTAGAATTAGTAATTTTGAAGTTTCAGAGGATGGCCCACTAAAAATTGAGAAGTACAGTGGCATATAGCTTCCCCGCAAATGTTAGTACTTGCTAAGATGTAATAAATAATTATAAATGTTATAATTTAGTGAGTTTAACCAATAATATTTAAACAATAACATTGAAAGTAATAATAAGAAAAATGACGGTGGTAGTAGTGAGTGGACAATTGTGGCGATAGTGGTGGTGTTGCAATGATGGCGGTAAACGATTGTAGTGTGGCGACAGTAGAGGTAGATGGTGGTGGTGTGAAGCTCTGTAGAAAGAATGGTAGAGAGAGAGAAGAAGATAAAAAAATTTCTAGAAGAATGAAAGAAAAAGAGAGAAGATAATAAAAAAAAAAGAAATTTAATGGCAACATAGATATTGTAGGACATTGGTGCATTCCAAAAGTCAATAGGGCCTATTAGTATTTAAGTTTACTTAATAGGACTAATTGGTAATTAATTCTATATTTAGCTCATAGGATTAGGCTGTGCTGAGATTTAGTACCCAATTTATAGAGGTAGATGGTGGTGGTGTGAAGCTCTGTAGAAAGAATGGTAGAGAGAGAGAAGAAGATAAAAAAATTTCTAGAAGAATGAAAGAAAAAGAGAGAAGATAATAAAAAAAAAAGAAATTTAATGGCAACATAGATATTGTAGGACATTGGTGCATTCCAAAAGTCAACAGGGCCTATTAGTATTTAAGTTTACTTAATAGGACTAATTGGTAATTAATTCTATATTTAGCTCATAGGATTAGGCTGTGCTGAGATTTTGTACCCAATTTATATTTGAATTGGACTTAGGATATAAAATATTAATTGGAATTATCCAATAATTATATTAAAACTTTTGTTAAATAATAATTAAAAGAATCTAAATAATTTAATCTCTTCAAGAAAAAATAAAAAATTAATAGTCTATAATTATTAGATAAAATGGACGGGTTTAAGATTTGAAAGTTTTTTAAGGATCGGATTATTTTTTTTAGATGGTGAACTGCAAAAGCCAAGGAAACAAAAGCATGAGGACTAGCAGCCAAACAGAACCAAGCAAGAAAAACTACTACTAGGCCCCGTTTGGAAACATGCTAATTTAGTAACTTTTTGGTTATTTGGCTAAAATATGAGCTAAAAAAAACTAGTTTGTTTGGGATGACTTTTTGACTTTTTACGAAAAGATGTGCAAAAAGTAGAGAGAAAAGAGAATCTTTGACTTTTTGGTATGGATTGTTGGCTTTTTGGCTAATTTAGTAACTTTTTGATTTTTTGGCTAAAAAAGAGGGTTCCCAAACGAGGCCTAAGAACAAAACCAATTTTCTTAAAGGCATAGTGTCATTTGTATTATTAAAGGCATAGGCTCTTTGTTCTAAAGTGATAGGTTCAAAACCCAGACAAGTCATCAGTGGTAACACGTTCTATGCCGCGTTGTGATTCACGTGGTATATTTGGTTGATCAAAACCATTATCAAGTGAATAGAAAATTGATGCCAAAGTAAGCTTCATGAAACTGGTGTTTTGGTCGGTTTTCCAAATTGAAGGAAGGAAAGCTTGTCTCATATTGGTCGGCTAGGCTAACATTGTATGGGTTTATAAGCCTTGAGATTGGACCTTGGGGTAGGCCTCAAAGAGCACTTAAGTTTTGAAGAGTGAAAAGTTATGGGCAAAGTGGGTTAGACTTATTGGACCCAAAACAAACACACATGCATCGCCGCTGTCATCTGCCCGGTCAAGCGGGTTGGGTTGGGCTTGGGCGTTGGTACGAGGTTGGGTTGGGCTTGTATAGTCCAATACTTTTCTTTTGGGGCCAAAAACATTTGATTTTTTTTTAAAAAAAAATTAAATTCTTACCATTTAGAATTTGAATTTCGGTTTGAAATTCAAAATAAATTCCAAATTAACCCCAACGTTTCTGAATGCTAGCAGTTTTGGTCCATTGCACCTTTTCAACTTTTTCCCTCCAACCTGAACAGGTTCTTTGTCTGTTCAAGTCTGTTCTGAATAGATTCTTTGCCTGTTCAAATCTATCCTGAATAGCCACCAATTCTCGTATAAATAAACTAGCCCTCCGTTGGGTTTTTAAATCAATTTATGTTATTCCTTCTGCTTCTGCTTCCTGCATTTTGCTACATTTTATTTTTTTGTGAGAAATAGTATAAACACAAAGTGTATTCACTGGACATTTAGTTTGTAGTGCTGCTACTAATTGTTGTTAATTATTTTATCCTGGGAGATAGATGTCCACATTCTGAAAGCACCATAGAGAGGACAAATCTGTTTTAAGGAGACAGTGTTGAACACTGGAATTGATTGAATGTGCAAAAAGTAAGGACGAATCTGTCTTAAGGACACAGTGTTAAACACTGGACTTGATCAGAAAAGTTATTCAAATAAATTAACCAAGTAAGTTGTTTAATTTTATTCTTTTTTTTATTTGTTTATTTAATCAGATTTTATTTTTGTTTTTGTAACAAAATAAAATCTGTGGTTTTATTTATTTATTATTATTTCAAATTTGATTTTTGTAATCAAACAAATTCTCTCCTTTTTATCTATTTCTTTTATTCTTGTTGTTGTTTTGTACACAACAGAATTTAATCTATTTAAATACAGTGAAGATTGTCCAACAGGGGTCACCCCCTCCATCCAAACCTGTTGCTGTTGTTGAAGAGTGCAAGACAGTCTAGCAACAGAGTGAGCCACCGAATTTCCTTGTCTCAAAAAGTGCAAACAAATTGTAAAAAAATAATTAATTATTTGTGACAGTGTCTTGGTGTTGCAAATGACTAAGAACTATTTTTTGTGACATTCCTGTATCATAACAATCCACAAATTCATTGTTTTGCATCTAATTCATTCACATTGAAGTTTAATTGAAATAAATTTAAACAATACCCATTCACCCATTCATTGACATCCAAACCAAATATTAATAAAAAATAAATATAGTCAATACACATGCATTCATCATTTATTCACATTGAGTTTAATGATTAAAATATTATTTTTTCGTCAAGATTACTTCATAAAAATAAACAAATAGTTTAGATTGAAAACAAATTGAAACATTAAGGTTTAAATTAATAAATTAAAAATTAAACCTTAATGTTTCCAGATGAGAAAGTTTGTACTATCCAATTTGATAATCACATGTGAGCTTTGTTAAAATTAATGACATATTTACATTAGATACATTGGATACATTGCATGCATTGGATACATTGAGTTCATACATTCTTTGTATTCATTTATTTTTATATTCATGTATTTTATATTTATTAAGTTCATTGTCTAGATTATATTCATGTACCTAGTTAGTTGTAAGGTTGTTTAGGTTCATGGATCTTGTTCATTGAACTTATGTAGAACATT